GTGGCATACGCCTGTAATCCCAGCTACTGAGGAGGCTGAGGTTAGAGAATCCCTTGAACATGGGAGGCAGAGGTTGCAGTGAGCCAAGATCATGCCACTGCACTCCAGCCTGGGAGACAGAGCAAGACCCCATTTAAAAAAAAAAAAAAAAAAGAAAAAAAGAGTTCTTTCAGCCCACAGAAAAGATGCTGCTGTCATTGTACTCCTTGACCCTTGGTCGTTCTTGTGTAGGAAGAGTTGCTTGGAACTTCTCTGTCTGAAGTGGACACTGGTCTAGGAGTCAGGAACCTGGAGTCCAGTCCTGACCGCAGGCAGCTCTGTGATATTAGGGGACACGCATAACCCCTTTCAGCCAGGATTCCCTGGCTGTAACACAACGACCAAAGGAAATCTCTGATGCCTTCAACCCCAAGACTCCACAGTTCTTTGATTTGGAGTGGGGAAGGAAAGAGAAAGTCACAGTGCAGGAGAACGTGGCCCCACTTTGCCACTTACGGAGAAGTAATTCTACCTCTCGGAGACTTGCAGTCTCTTTTATCTGCAATGGCATGGGAATTGGAAGCCTGACCGAGAAGAAACCAGGGGGGTCAATATCATCCATCCCCAGGGAACTTGGCCTTTTCCTTTCTTCAGGACTGAGAATCTGAGAGTCTAGGGCACCTCAAAATTGACCTTGCTTTTTCTCAACCATGGGCAAAAGCTAATGTCAGAAAGACCCAGAAAAACTGATGGAGCAGAATTCTGTCTACATCTGTGGATAGGCATTTTGAAGGAATGCTCTTTGGCACATGGTTTTCCACCCTGTGTTGCTTTTCTAGATATATATTTATATACATATAAATATCTCTTTCCCTGAGGGACAAGGAGTCTCAGCCAAGAGGGAATTCAGTGTGATCTGGTAGAATTTGTTGCAAAGGAAATTCACTGGGGTAGGAGGTAGAAATTGTGTATTCAGGACATCACCTGGTTAATAAAAATTGCACAGCTCCTAGAACACATGCAATTTCTTTTCTTTAAATTAATGAAGGGTGTATTGTTTCCCCATTTTTTTTACCAATTTAAATTGTGATTTTTTTTTTTCTGGGACAATAAGCAAACTAACATAGGGGTTAAATAATTTGTTAAAAGGTGGAGGGGTAGAGAGGAGTTGGGGTTTGGAAAAGGGGGCTTTGACGGGGAACTAAAATCTGCCAATAGCAACAATAAATGCAGAGTTATGCCTTAGGCATAATATATCAAAGAAAATATAATGCATCCAGCTTAAAACTAATGATTGCCATATAATTAGATGAGAAGCATTGTGCTATAAATGTGTATTCTTTAGCGTGCTGTGATTTTACTGTAAAAAAAAAAAAGAGAAAGAGAGAGCGAGAAAGAAGGAGACAGAAAAACACAGAGCCCAGCAACATACTATAAAAAGAACCCTCTGTTGACTTCTCTACTGTTTAGTATTCCTTGGCTGTTCTCCCTTGGGAGTGTGTAATTAGTACTTTATGAAGAGTACATTTAAAGCAGTTTAATATTCACCTCATTCAATCTGAAACAATGTGATCCATGCTTAGACAAATCAGTGCTCCTTGCTGACATAATCTGTCAGAACATTACCTCTGAAAAGACCTTTCAAGAGGTTTGGATGTTAATTAGTTGTCTATCATGTATAAACAGAGCAGTGAGCAGAAGGGGCTCCGACAGGCCAGAGGGATACGTTGGGAAATGCATTTTGTATGAACACGGCTTGCAGGGGGGTCTTCTCTCTCTCTCCGCCTCCCCCGCCTCCCCCCAGCCTCCCCTCGCCATGTCAGCAGCCACACAAGCTTTGGACTTCTTCCGGGCAAGATAAGTGCTTTCCGGTTGGCATCAAGGGGCGCCCCTGGTCCCCAGAGGGGACTGTGAATAAGGCTAGAGGTGTTCACACACACACACACACACACACACACACACCCACACCCACCCCACAGCTCCCCAGGGCAGGCCCACCTGCAAGATGTGACAGCTGTCTCCTTTCAGGTCTGAGAAGCATGACCTCACAGCCCACCTGTGCTTGCTGGGGAGGCTCCGGGCTTTGGGACCTGGCAGGGTCCCACCTCCTGTGGGCCATAGGCAGAGGGGGCCAGGAGGAGATGGAGATCTGATGCCTGCCTCCCCGCTGGCCCTAGAGCTTGCTTCCTCTGGGAAGCCAGGCTGCTATGACAGAGTCACATGGTGCAAGAGAGGACAATGCACAGGGGAATTGGTGTGCATGAAACCTCCTTGAACACTCTAGACCCAAAGAATGCCAGCAAGGCTCAGAGTCATGTTCAAGATCACCTGGTCCAGACTTTGCGTTCAGGGGAATCTTTGCCAGAGTTCATCCTACAAGGACTGAGGTCTAGACTCTTCCTATGTGAGTTAGTTGTCTGGGGTTTGGACAAGCCTTCTTTTATTGTGGACTTAGAATGCCCATGTCTGAAGCACTTCCTAGCATATTGAAGACGCTTACTAAGTAGTAGGCTGGTGATTCCAAAATGGAATGGCACAGGCCCTGTAGGAACCACCTTCCCAGGCCTCTGGAGCCTTTTCCCTGTACCCACCACATACACATGTTGTCCACTCAACTGCCCCCCTGCCATCTTCCTTTCCCTGGCCTCAGCCACCCCACCTTCCATCAGCAGCCTCAACCCCCATAGCCTCTTCATTCACTGTTCATCCCATAAGCATCCACCAAGCACCTACTGTATGCATTGTACTATGTGTTATGTTCTAGGGCAGCCAAGATAAATAAGTCATGGTCTCTGCTTGTGAGGCGTTTACCAGATCCATAAACGTATAATTACAGTTTGGGGCAATTTTAAGTCATGTAAGGGAGGCAATATAATTTAGTGGTTAGGAGGGAGTTCTTCTGGAGTCAAACTGCCTGTGTTCAACTTCCCAGTCTTACCACTCAACAGCTAGGTGACCTTGGGCAGGTGATTTAACTGCTCTAAGCCTCAGGTTCCTTGTCTATAAAATGGGGGTAAGAATATCCACCTCATAGGTTTGTAAGTACTCAATGAGATAATGCAGTGAGGTGCCTAGCACAAAGCTTAGGGTATAATAAGTGCTCAACCGATGTGTGTCCCTGAAAATAATGCAACAATAGGAGCACAATCAAAATGCCTGAAGGTAGAAGAGGGAAGTACTAACTGTGCCTAGGTAGTCTTGGAAGGCTTCCCAGAGGAGGTGACATCTGAGCTGTGTTTTAAAGGACCAAATAGAAGTTTACCAGGAGAGAAGTGACAGAAGTGCTGGCTAGGTAGAGGAAGGGCACACACAGATGCCAGGGGGTGCAGAAATGAGTAAACCACTGAGACATTGCCTTGAGTTCCATCTCACACTGCTGTGCTACAGCCTGGGAGTCTGTTCCCAGTTGAGCCCTTCAGAACCAGCCATGAGACAGCACAGGTACGCGGAAGGGAGCAGTCTCCATGGCTGGGTGGTGATGGAGTCTTCTCGAGGAACTAGTTGCTTCTCTCTGCATTTCTCAAAAAGAAAGGAATCACGATTGCAAACCCCCCCGGCCTGGGTATCCTACTGCAACTTGAACCCGTGGCAGAGCTAGGCTCCCAGGGAGGCGGTGGGGCACAGAGAAGGCAGGACCACTGACTCCAGCCAGTTCTCACCCCAGCTGCAGCCCCACAGCCCTGAGATGGAGCGGGCACCTCCACCCCTCATGGTGGCAGAGGCTGGTTGAGAGGAGGGGCACCAAGGTGCACAAAGGTCCGGCACAGTGCCCGATACACAGAAGGCACTCAGGACATGGTTGCTTTCATTATTATGGGGAGAGCTTACTCCAGTCCACCCTTTGTTCAGGGAAAAAAAAAAAAAAAAAAGGGCTGTCGTTGTCTAATGTTTCACTTGACAAGAAGCCAGGACTCGAGAGGACTGGGTATTCCCCGGGTATCCTCTTGGCAAAGCCCTGGGCCTCCGTCTATGCAGGGTCTCTTCTAGCCTCAAAGACTCCCAGCTCCCACCCCTGACAACAACAAAGTCCATGTTGGGGCCCAGGTCTCCAGCACCTCACATCCACCCCCAGCTTTCCCTGAGCCCACCAGACTGCTGTGGCCACTCCAGCCACCTGGGATTGCTCCCCCAAGGCCAGCAGAGCCCATCACAGCTGCCTAAACAGGTAAACAGCTGTTTCCCACGACCCTCTTCCCACCCTCACACCGTCCCTACAGACGGTCCTCCCCTCCCCTGGCTTCCACTTCTCCATGCTCCCCCAGTGTGCACTGACCAGCTCCTGACACAGCCCTGGACTTCACTCCTCTTTCCATCATGAAACCCCAGCCTGGGGACCTCTCCCATCCAAGGCAAGGCATTGGCTCCCTAACAAAATATCCCAAGCCCTGGGAAAGCACTGTCCACCCCACCCCACCGCAGACAGGGTGGGCAAGCCCTGGACCCTGCATTCTCATGCTTGTTAGACAGAAGCAATGACATCAGCTCCCATCTGCTGAGAGCCTGCTATGGGGTATGTGTTATTCTCATGATAGCCCCTGAAGTAGGCATCATTAGAATCATAGGCAGACCATTAAACTAAATCCGGGGCAGGCCAAGTGAGTGGTCTAACGGCATACAGCCAGGCAAGTGCAAAACTGGGCTGCAGGCTTTTCTGTCCATTTCCAAACTCCCACCACCCACTTTCCACCAGGTAAACCGGCCCCCTGCAAACTATAGCCCACAGGCCAGATCAACCTGTTTTTGTAGGGCCTGTGAGCTGAGAATGGTTTTTGTATTTTCAAAGGGTTATAAGAAAAGAAACAAACAAAGAACATGTGACCAAAACCATATGTGGCCCACCAGGCCTCAAATATTTACTACCTGGGCCTTTCCAGAAAGTTTGCCGTACCACAGGGCCACCCAGGAACATTCAGTACCAGGCACTGGGTACCACAGACACGAAGTGAAAGGGTCACCAGAGGGAAGATGGAAGGACGCTCAGGCCATCCTTCTATGTGACCCACCAGCTTCAAAACCATTTTCAAAATAGTGTTTAGTAGAGATGAAATCAGGCTACAGAGAACACCAGGAGTTTCTCTCCTTGCAGGCTTCACGGCTTATGATGAAATATTTCACACACAATGTCTCTTTCACGGAGTTAGAGTCCCCATTTTTTGAATGAAAAATGGAAAAGCTGAGAGCTAACATGACTAACTTAGGGGCCCCTGGTGAATATCCCCCCCAGGTCCCATGACCTCAAGGCCAATGTTCTTTCCATCACATGGCGGCTGCTCTGGCCCCCAGGGCATCTGGCCAGAGAAGCTGGGCACAGAGAGACCAAGAGCAACCCAGGCAGGGCTGCGGGCGGCTGGGCAGAAGGCGGAGCCACTGTGGTGGCCGCTCCTCCCAGGCCACCCTGCTCTTTTCATACGGATTGAATTTATATGCATCTCAGATTTCTGTTTTCAGCAGAGGCCCAACTCTCTTGGAGTTGTTTCAGCCACTGAGTCCCAGTACCCCAAGAGGAGTACCCCAATTGCTGCATCTCAGGGGTGATTCTAGCTCACATCCAGCAGGCTAAATAACTGTCCCCCAGGGCAGGGAAGCCTGATTTCCAGTTGCAGCTCTCCCACTTGCTGGCTGGATGACCCAGGGTGGGCCAGCGTCCCTCTCTGAGCCTCCCTTCCTTCCCTAGTAGCAGAGTGAACGATCCCCACCCCGTCCTTCACCCCTATGGGACTCTGGGAAAGGGAATGAGGTCATGTCTGTGGGCTGCCTGGCGGAAGGAAGCGGCAGGGGGAGTACAAGGTAGTATTATCTTCTGGGTTGAGCTGGGCAGTTGCCACGAAGTTGCTGAAATGTGTAAGCATTCCAACGACCTCGGGAACCCGTCGTGGGAATGTCACGGGAAGGCAGTGTGTCAGAACGGGCTTGGGCTTCCGAGTCACCACGGCGTGAGTACAAACCCCAGCTCAGCTACTTCCCAACTTTGGCAAACAACCCAGTCGCTTTCGGCCTCAGTTTTCTCACCTATAAAAAGAGAATAATCCCAACCACAGTTTGGTTGCTTGGTTAAGGATTTGAAAAGATGATCCCTGGCATAGGTGAGCGCTCATTATGACGACTGCTGTGGACCTGTTGTCTTGTCAGGACACCTCTTTGTGTTTCTCCATGAACTATCTCCAGATAAACGCGAACATCCTCCACCTGTGCCCTTCCAGGGAGCGCCTTCTGCAGTGGGGATAGCTGGGCATTCTGAGCACTTCCTTTTGAAAAAGAAAAATTAGAACCGAGGCAATGAACACAGGCCTTTTCCCCAGCATCACCCAGGGAACCTGTGACCCACAGGGCCAGGGGTCCTAGGTCCAGAGACTGAGGGAGGTCAGGTACTCCCTGGGTCCCTTTCCCCTGGTAAGTGGTGGAGTCTGGTCACCACGATTTCTGAACTCAACAGTCCCAGCCTTGGCAAACTGAAACTCCCAGACTGCCAGCAACCACTGTCTTCTCCCTTACCCAGGAGCAAAAGAAGGGCCTCAGTGGGCCCCCAGGCAAGTGGGATTTTGTACAGACAGAAATGGACAATCTGCTCCTGGCATCTTTTTAAGACAGGAAGGGATGCAAAGATTGGGGGCTGGACGCATCTAGAAAACGCTTGCTTCCCCAGGCATCCCCAGTCCACGTGCAGAGGAGCATGGGACAGTGGTGGAGGTTGGTGGGGCCGGGGCCAAGGCCAGGGAGGAAGCGGAGAGATGCATCCAGCAGAGGGTGTGAGAATCAGCCACAACTGGCCGAGACTGTCAGAATTAGTCACCAGTGTTGACGAGTTCAGTCGGTTACATAACAGCCTCCCTGGCTCGCCGTTAGCTCTCCTGAGCTGGGGCTCTCCGGGGTTAAGGGTCTCTGGCAGGGAGGGTCACATCCTGGGAGCCCAGGGGCAAAGGTTCTCACACAAGCCTGCCCTCCCCAGTCCTGCTCCAGCCCTGCGAGGCCAGAAGGAGGCGCCAGCTGTTCAGCTCCTGCCTGAGTCTTGCCACCTTGTCTCCAGACCATCCCACGCTGGCCTCGCAAGGCTGCCTCTCTGGCCTGAGCACAGAAGATGCTCAGACAAGGAGTTAAATATGGATCTCAGCTTAGGGCAGCTCAGTAGCCCACTTCCCCGCTGAATCTATTATGATACATCATTATAATGATTATTATCAATAAATATTTAGCAAGCACCTTTAGTTGTGGCCCCGTTGGAGGCATTGTAGGAGCTACAAAGATGAATAAGATGCAGATGTACGGCAGCAGCAGGAGCTTGGGATTGCGATGCTTTTCCTCCAGAGGGGAGAGCGTGTTCAGAGAGAGGGACTCTAAGCAGGTGGCTCCGTTTTCTGCTTGAGGTCAGATTGAAACCCTGTGTAAAGGTTGGCACAGCCAGCCTCAACCCCAGATGCCCAGGATAGGGTGGGATTCTTGAGGCCAGATTTCTTGCTGATGTACTTACCCACTGCACATGGCTGAAAATAAAGAACAATAAATGTCTAACATCAGTAATGGATGGTGATGATGATGACAAAAATGATGTTAGAAAACAGTATACAATTTTGCCCCAGCACAGTGGCTCATGCCTGTAATCCCACCACTTTGGGAGGCCAAGGCGAATGGATCACTTGAGGTCAGGAGCTCAAGACCAGCCTGGCCAACATGGTGGAATCCCATCTCTCCTAAAAACACAAAAATTAGCTGGGTGTGGTGGTGGGTGCCTGTAATCCCAGCTACTCAGGAGGCTGAGGCAGGAGAATCACTTGAACCCGGAAAGCAGAGGTTGCAATGAGCTGAGATCGCACCAGTGCATGCCAGCCTGGGTGACAGAGCATGACTCCGTCTCAAAAAAAAAAAAAAAAAAAAGAGAGAGAGAGAGAGAAATGAGTATACGATTTTGGCCCGAAGCCCCGGGAACTTCAGCTCTTCCTTCCTGCCTATTGGCATTTCTGTTACACTTCACTAGACAATAGAAAGCCAGGAGCAGAAGCTTGAGAAACATTTAAGAATCACTCAAGCAGATATTCGGACTCCAGGCAGGACTCAACTGAATCATCCAAGAAGAGTCACCGTTATAGCAGCAGGTGAACTTAGGAGTGGGTTCGAAATCCAGGAGTGGGGTGACAGCCTCTTGGGCCCTTCCTCTCTTTCCCATGTCTAAGGGAAAGCCCCAGCCCAGGCTCTCAGGAGACAGTAATAACTACCAAGGGCCAGATTGCCTCCTCATTAGCCTACCAGATTCACGGTAGTTAAGAGCCGGAAGGAGTCTCAGTCCAGCCCTCTCATTCTATAGATGAGAACACTGAAGCCCAAAGAGGAGAACTGACTCACCCAGGGCCACACAGCAGAGATGGGTCTCAAACTCCCACATCCTTTTATTATACTGTGGAAACCAGAGAGAGGTGCGGGAGGGGACGAATGTGGGGAAACTGTCTGCCTCCTGAGCCTGCAGAGGTCTGTGGGATCCATACCCCCTGCTTAGCTGGCTCACTATCAGGCAGATGACAGCTTCACGTGGAGGGAGACCAACCGCCCCAAGGAGGCCACACAAATGGCCATGGAGCCAAGTCAGGGTGTGCAGTTTCTAGAAGAGCCTTTCCTCTCTGCTTTGCTCCCTGAAAAGAGCAAAAGGCTCACTCACTTCTAGGCCTGCCGGCAAATTTCTGATGAGAAATCTACAGCAGCTTCTAACTCCCAAAGATCTCCTGGGCATCTACTTGGCATGAGCTTTTCCAGCAATATTGAAAGCCAATTAGAGAAAAATTAAGGAATTAAATAGAAAAATTTGTGTTGGTTAAGGCCATTAAAAATCATTCATTCACTCAACACACGTCTACAGAGTGAGGATTCAGTCACAGAGATAAGGTCTCTGATCTTAATACACCCGCAGTCCGGTAGGTAAGGTAGAAAAATCAGCAGTTATCCCAGGGACTCTCATAGCTACGATGTAAGATCCTGGAAGCACCAAAAGGGAGCACCCTGTGGGTGGGGTGGCCAGGGGTCTAGCGCAGCTTCCCAGAGGTAGACATCAGACCCTGGGGCTTAGAGAGCCTCTGAAAGCCCAGAGCCCACCCTGAGAAAGATAAAATTTGATCTATTTGCTTTCATTTTCTACTTTATCTTCATCCCTCCTCTCCTTCCATCTGAACATACCCCGTCAGCAGCCCCTCATTCCTGTTCTATCATCAGACTTTCCCCATCTTCTTCCCCATTTGGGACCCTCAGCCCACACCCTCAGCCCACACCCGATCAAACATGTAGAATCAGCAGAGGTTGTGGGGAGGGGCCCCACTCATGCCCAGACAGATGTGCTCTGTTCCCCGCACAGCTGTCCGGCAGCAGCCCATCTGCGCTCACTTCCTGCCTCCCAGCTCCAGCCCCTCACACCTCCCACGCAGGGGTGGGGAAGTCTGGTCCTGAGATTCATCCCAAAGCCAATGTTGAGGCTGCCACTAGCCCGGCAAAGCCCCAGACCCTGGCTCCCGCCCTCCCCACTCCCCCACAAGGAGTGGTGGCCCAGGAAGGGCTTCAACAAGGTGGAGACTTTGCCTAGGCCACTCTGGAGGACTGTGCCTTGAAGTTCAGCTTCAGTTTCTTGGCAGTCGTGAGAGCTGCGTAGCTCTGAAGTTCTCCTAGCGTCATGTGTCCACATGAAACACGCCAACATCACTGATCTGGTTTCATTATTTTGTCAAAATTAAAAGAAGGCTGCTTCACTCGAGCCAGATGTATCCAAGGGAAGAAAATTATATTTTCAAGAGAGTTTGAGGCACAAAGCTGTCCCACCTTGATTGTTGTCTCCTTGTCGGAATCCATGTGGCCCCCAGTTTCGATGCTGGAAGGTGGGTTCTGCATTGCTGAGAGATAGTTTCTGGAAACCTGCTTGTCTCTGGGATGCTCACAGCTCCCTCCTGGCTCCTGAGCAGGGAGCATCTATTCTCTAGGAATATAGAGATGGGGCAGGCAGCTGTGTGGTTCCCATGGAATGAATACCCCTTAAAGGCAGGAACTATTAATGGTGAGATTATTAATTGTTGTATCCCCTGTAGCACACAGCCCTGGCTCTGTATATGGCGGGCACTCGATAAGTGTGCACTGGACTAAAGGTACCAGGATACTTCCCTGACCACACACCCGGGTCAAACAGGGAAGTGAGGTATCTGATTAACCCTCTCCATTTGCCCTTAGGAAACTCAACTTGGGCAACGGGGAAAAGAGCAGACATAGCAGGAATACGTCTCCAGCCTGGAGAAGGGATGGGGTGGTGAAGGAAGGAGAAATTGGACTGTAAAATGAACGGGCATCCCCAGCTAAACCTACAGTCTTTTCTTGAATGTCATGTCCTAATGCATGGGGAGTTAGGCAGAAAGATGACAACCTCTTCCCTTTTCCTAGAAACAGAAATGCCCCAGGAGGACTTGCAAACTCTGCAATCCTGTATCTCCAGAATAATGGCATTGCCTTAGTGGGAACCAGCTTCTGCAGGCAGAAATGAGCCCCCAGAACAAGGGCTGGGGCCAATAACAGGAGCTGAGAGCTAGCCCAGACTTTCTGGTTGCAAGAGGAGGTTCCCTTCCGTGACCACTGATTGTAAATGATTCTAGTTCACCCCACTCTCCCCGCTGCATACACAGACACACACAGTCTTGATATACGACTTTGGGTGAGAGGCAGTGCGGGTCCTTCTCCCAC